GTTTCGTCGGAACGAATTTACGGAAAATTAAGTAACGACTGGAGGCGTAACAATACTTTTGAGCGTCACACCGTGCACTTCTAGGCTAGAGTTCTCTCCTTAAACCTTTGAATTATTTTAGTGTTAACTATTTCGTTCTGTATATGCTTCTTAAATTAACGTAAAATCTCTTGTGCAAAAATTGCTGTTTCACACGTTTTTTTCATGTTTTGTTCATCACAAAAAATTAACTCGATCTTTGTTTCTCTCATTTGCACAGGACACCAAATTCTCCAGAACGTTATGTGGAATTGGTGGTTGGAAGAGCTCTCCTCAATGTGAAAAATAAAGATGTCAGACGTGATTTTAAATCAGTTTGTGATAAAGCGAAAGATAATTATGCTGATAAAATGAATTTCGCCAAGGCAACATGGTATAGCTGAACAGTTCTTAAAATGAAGAGGACAAACTTCAAAGTTAAGTACGTTTTGGAAGGAAAGGCGGTCGAGCCATAGGTCATCTAACTGATCATTTTTGGAATTATGTTTACTGTTTTGTAATAACACATATTCTGATGTTTGATGGTCTTTCCTAGTTGTTGATGAACAACGTGTGCAGCGAGTAATGCAGACCTTAAACACTTCACGTATTCCAGTGAACAGTGTAGAATCTTCACTTTATGAGAAAACAACATATCATGTCTACAGAGAGCAGAATTTCTCCCTAGACACGAGCATGTTTAAAAAACAGCCTGTTTATCTCTATTCACTTGTATAGTATACCATCATGACATGGGGTAAATGTTTGTCTCAGTCAGAGTTAACAAACTTATCAACCATTTGCTTGACAATTTGTATCACTCATTCTACTAAACCATAAAACTGGAGGAGATAAGATAAAGTTAGTATTGTTACGTCTCTGGTCATTGGTTTGTTTCCTGTATAATTTCTTTCCTATGAAACTTTAGCGACACAAGTCCTTTCTTAAATAAAACTGGTTTATTCTTTCTGAATACAACTTTGCAAGACACTTAATTTCCACAGTCACACTATAACAAACACTATGATTCACAACAAACGACTCACGTGCTCGCTCAACAATACGTCTCTCTCTGTTCGCAGTTCAATTACCCATTGTTGCCGTCACTTCTTGGCGGCTTATATATACAAGAATACCGCATATCTAATAACCTCTCGAGGCTTCATGAACGTTCGAAAATATGACGTGTTACTAACGTCACGTGACCCCCGCTGTCGTAACAGTATCTTCACTACACCCAACACTTTTCACAACTCAGAGAAGAGTTGACTGTTAACGTTAGCTCACTGATCTGTACGGAGTTTTTCAAGTGCTCCAAACCAGGCTATCCAGTGCTCTGCCAGTGCATGAGCCATGAACTGTGCAGACATATTTACCAATGAACAAGCCTTGGCCCACTTCATAAAGTGTTCGATTACCATAAGTATATACAGGTGACCCATTCCAATTCTGGGAGTGAATCAGGGATATCCAGGCCTATTCTATGTAGAGGAGGAGTAACAGTTAATTGCTGGAGTTTACCATGTTTTGGCTAGCTTTTTCCCTAGATGACTAATACCACGCAGTGTTATCCCAGTGCTGAACATCGTGACTTCAATGCAGCCAGAAGAACCACCATTAAACATTAGCTAGTTTGTTTGTTTGTTGAATTTCATGCAAAGTCACATAATGGCTATCTTCACTAGCCATCCATAATTTTGAAGTGACATACTAGCGAGGGTAACTAGTCAAATCACCTACTACCAACTCTTGGGCTATTCTTTACTAATGAATAGTGGAATTGGCCATCAAATTATATTGCCCTCATGGCTGAAAGGATGAGCGGGTTTGGTGATTAATTGTAATCTCATGACCTGCAGATTGCAAGCCAAGTACCCTAACCACCAGATCCATTAAACTTTAGTAAAAGTGTGTGCAACATTTTGGTAGCCTCCAGTCTTTGTTTATGAAAAGTCTAGCAAATCTCATTTCTGAAAGCTCCGAAGATCACCAACTGTAACACAGGCTAAGAATAATTGATTAGGTGTTGATAACAACGAAATTTCCTGCACTCGTAACTGCTTTAACAAGTGCTATGGTCACATACATCCATCCTAGATCCCTAAATTTAGCTGCTCATATTTTTACCTTGCTAGATTGCAAGGAGTGCCATGCAAGCTTAAATCCTTCAGTTGCTCTTTCAGGAGCTTCCGAAATATTATTCATGGACTTTTCCACTAGTAGAATCTCTTATTATGTGACTTTTGGTCATGAGGGCAGGAGTGGTCTCAACTCCCACATGGTCTAGGACATGTAATAAGGACTAATGTAAAGTCTCCATGTATATTAAGACAACCCATGTGCACATCTATAGTGTGGAACAATGTGAAAATGTATGAGTAAATTATACTCCTGCTATCATTCATATGGTGTTTTCAAAGTTCATCAGTCATTTCAGTGGTGCATGGTCCACTCGAAAAATAACTTTTTACCCTACTTGTAGTATTAAAAGTTTTATAAAGACCTCAACTGCGAGCATTTCTTTCCTTGTTATATAGCATGTGCATTCAGGAACCATGTGCATATGAGTAACATATGCAATTAAACATCCTTCTCTGTTTTGCAACTGTGATTATATTACTCCAATTCCACCATCACTGGCATCACTGTGGAACAGGAATTCACAACCTGTCATGGATACGCCAACATTTAATTCAATGACAGGAATGGTTTCTCGTATTCCTTACTCTATATGAAGTGCATCTCCACTTTAGTGAGAACCAGTAATGGAGTGATCTATGATAAATTGGCATCAAACCATTAGTAATGAAATGCTAAACTGAGGAAAGTGTGGACTTCTCATTTGGTCATAGGCTGAGGCCAATTTTGCATTGCTGCCATTTTAGCAGAATCCATGGATATTTCTTTTCTACCTGCAATATGACTGAGAAAATTCAGTTCATTGTGTACGAAAGTATATATATATATATTCCTGGTTTTTAGTTTAAAGCCTGCCTTATTTTACCTACTGAAATATCATTTACAGGTTCTCAGGCACAGACTTAAATGCATGAACTAACATTAAGATGTCAATTACGTAGATCAGGAGCTTTTCTCATTATAGCCCCATTTGCCTTACAAAATGGTAGACATATTACACAGACCAAACAGGATGACACAAAAACCTGTAGAAGCCACTTCTTTTGCTGAAAAAAGTCTCAGGTCTGCTCTCATCAACCAGCTTAACTTGACAGTATACAGATGCTACTGGACCAAGCACTCTCTGAAGACTTTATTATCCCATCCTTTAATGTCTACTGTATTTCAGCACTAGCCACATCCATAGTGTCTAGTTTTCTTATCAGGCATGCATCACCTGAATCAATTTGACGTTGTGTGACTATTGCCTGACTCAATTTGCCACCCCCAAAAATACATCAGCATATTCTGCCTACAAGTCATTGAGTTAATGTCACTGTATTAAGTTTAGGTTACCTGCACAATCCTCAACTAGTAACCTCAGATGTGTTGATAATAATCATATTTCACTTTTGGACATGGTTCAATGCACACAGCCCTAATATTATTGCTAGAATTAGCTACTCCCATTTCACTTACCTCGCATGTGTAAAGACTTTCTCAGCCCTGAAAGAGCTAGGCTATATATTATACTCTTTTTTTACAAATATTTCATTGAAATTCAATGGCCAGACCTGATCAGCCCAAGTAGTGTTGCCAAGTCTTGTGAGAAAAAATAAAATAAAATAAAAAAGGAGCTCAAGACAAGTACTGTTGGACTGTAGCAGTAGTATTTACTACATACTTTGGCTCGTCTTCACCTATTGCATCATTGTTTGAAACATATATCTTTGTCTATTTTGCTGCTTGGCATGGTGTGGGCAGTTCACTTGAAAATGTCCCAACATTGCACAGGCAAGTCAGAAACTTCACTCTAACCCTCCAAAATGGTATCCTGTTGGAGATAGGTTGCAGAGTGTAAGTCAAGGTAGGACTGAGATAGCCCCACTCTTTTAATGGATATCAATGTGTTTGCATCTCAATGCCAAGATGATGTTTTATGTAGTTGGTTAAACCTAGGCTGGACTCCAATCTGGCTCAACTTGGGTGCCTGGGTAGGATTTTTTTATTGAAGATGAAGTCATTGCAGCTGCCACTACAAGCCTTTTTGCTTGTTGCAAACAGTTCACAGTACCTTGTAATGCACTGTGTCAGAAACTGGCTCAATAAGGGCGAGAAGATCTCTCACACCTAGGTGGTACCATATCATTTTACTAGATAGCCCTTCATCTACCTTGTTAATGAGGTTATTCTAGTGATACGCATAGATCATTACAGGGTAAGATTTATTTTGCAAATAGCACTAATAATCAATTTAAATGGTCAAGCTTTTATGAGCCTTGAACTCAGTCTGATGGGTTGCTCTGTTTTCCATCAGGCCAAACCTCTACTATAACTCAAGAATGACTGTTTCATAGTCCTACTGTTGCACTGTTGCTTTTTACTCAAGTGTTTGATGGAATCCAGGCCTAGATTCAGTATCAGGTGTTGCACAGCCTGTTCTGGAATCAAATCATTCCAGCCAATTAACTGTGTGAATGTAACTGACTGATGTAATCAACATGCTTATAGACTCAGCAACAGCAAATTGAGTTGGATTGAGCTAATATCTGTTGACATGAATATGTTTTTTCTACACTTATTATCACCATTAAAGGTCAGTAATAACGAAATATTTTTTTTTATAATTTTGGTTTGTACATACGTTTCAAATGTCATCACATTTCAGTTAAATAATAATACTGTATAAAAATAACATATTTTTCAATATTATGTTTCAATAATTAATTGTTTTAACATTCTCTGAAACTAATAAATTATTCGTAAAAATTCATGGGGAAATAATAACTAGCTGTGCAACGTATTTTGCTTTGTTTTGAACAACAATCTACATGTTTTTGGTAATTTGTGTAGAAAATCCTTAGAGCAATAAAGCGTCATTACCCCATTATTAAAATTTCGAAAATCTAATGAACACATACCTATATTATGAAGTTTGACTCACATGGCCAAAAACATTGTTAATAGTGATGATACCGAAATGATGAAATAATGTATCCTAATTGTCAGGTTTTAAGTATATGTGGGCTGAAATTCTTCTAGAGTATGTGTCTGTAACTTGTTGGTGATAAATTCGAACAATAAACGGACAGTACACAATCCACTTTTTTCAAAATAAGTCGCCCCCAGTAGCACAGCGGTATGTCTGCGGACTTACAACGCCAGAAACCGGGTTTCGATACCCGTGGTGGGCAGAGCACAGATAGCCCTTGTGTAGCTTTGTGCATAATTAAAAACAAACAAACAAACAAACAAAAAACAAAATAAGTCAAACGTATTGTTGCGTCATCGAGGTCACGTGACTGGTGTGGCGCCACCTATTTTCTAGAACTATCCTGTAACTTGGCGAATGCTCTAGTATTTACTAGATATAGGGTAGTCTGGTATATAAAAGAGGGTGACAACGTGACAGAATAATGTAATGTGTGTAGACAGTGTGTAATTGATCTGCAGTCAGAGAGAGACGTATTGTTGTTATAGCGTTTGTTTTAGCGCGACTGTTGAAAATAAGTGTATCGTAAAGTTGTATTCGGAAAGAATAAACCAGTTTTATTAAGTAAGGACTTGTGTCGCTAAAGTTTCGTCGGAACGAAGTTACGGAAAATCAATTAACAAACGGAGACGTAACAGTATATACATAATGCTATACACTATAGGATATCACAGTCGTGTCTAAAACTATTTTCTAGTCAAAAATCCACTCAGGCTGATTCAATTACTTTAGAATCCAACTGACAAGATGAACTATTATTCTCTACACTTATTACAACAGTGCCAGTGAATAATTCACTTACGGTACCCCATGTATTACCATAGTTGTATCCTGAATTTCAAATAATTGTCTCCTTTTCATCAATGTCCACACAGGTGGGTTCAATTACTTTAAAACACCCTTTGACAAGACAAGTTGTTCTTCTTATCTCTATTAAACTGTGAAACTCATTTTAAAATATCACCCTTACGGCTCATCATTCGCACACCAGCTAACTTAATGTTTTCTAACTTTTTTTTTCTGACTGAACTTTACTTTCATTTCACTCACTTCTTTACTTTTCACTTGACTTGCGCTCGCTTGGTCAACTATATACAGAACTTGGAATTTTCAACAAACTAAGCAAGCAACGCTTTAATCTAACAATACTCACTTGAGGTAACAAGAAAAACACAGAAGTATCGAGTAACGTGACGTCAACAATATTATTAAAACCTAGACAAAATGTAATTGCAAACAGAACGTAGATTTGTACAGAGTTACGTAACGAAATCTGTCACAACTAATACTTTTAAAACAATCCATCTTCAACACTCCTGTCTTAAAAACTAAACAACCTTTAAATACTAAGTCACAAAATAAACTAAGTAATAACACTTACACTAAACAGTCTTGTATATCCAACACTAGTCTTTATAAGTAAGAATGTAAGAAAAGTACAGGGTGTCCATAAATTATCTGACACATTTTATAAAGTAACAACTATAATATGTTTGAAGTTATTAATTTAAAAAATGGTTCACATAACTTATGGACACCCTGTATATTTGATTAACTATACTCATCATCAGGTTGAATTTTAATTTCGCTCTAAGTAGGTAGCTGACTCTGATTGTAAGTTCATATAAGTTTTCATGTGTAAGTGTAAGTTTTCATGTAAATTTTTAGATCTAGTTCCGATAGACCTCAAAATCCTTTTGGCCCCACCATATGGGAATTAGAATTTGAAAATGTCTATAATCTGAATGTAAACTATTAGTTTCAACAGCTCCTTATATGCATATATAAATTTGCAAACAAATCGGTTCAGTCAAACCAAAGAATCCCTAAAATCCATTTACGTCTCAATTTTGGGTTCTCTTACAACTCTTTCGAATTTTTCCTAATTTTAATCATCAAGCGCATGTAAATATCATATCGTTTTGTCAAAACCTTTTGGGAGGAATTGAAAATTAAACGAAACATGGATATAGGTAAAATTGAGAAGACCTATTACAAAGATAGAGAACAGAAGTTAAGTCATGTTAAAAATTATATAACTGGAGCATTTCTGACAACAAAATAAACCTGTACTAAGTAAATAACACGCATTTTAAAGCAATACGCGCAAATTATAAGATGTAATTTCCTTCTATTTATTCAGTAAAATAGTATGTTTTTCTTGCTGCTTATCCTATACAGGAAATACTAACCGAATCTTCAGAATCAATTGTTATTTCTCTGTGCGAGTGCACAATAGATACATCAATTAAAAATAAGCTAAAATATTTTTCTCTTTGTGTGATTGTTTTTCTATACTGAAGCTTCCTAATAACAAGCATGTATTCATTAGAGTTAAAGAATTGTGGAATATTCGTTCACCTACGTAAAATTCATAAGGATATCAGGTGATTTATAGGGTTTAAGCACTGCATTTGAAGTGTAAGAAACCAGTGATAAAACATGTAATATTTATTGATAAAAAAATGTGGAAAATATAATTCAGCATACGCATAAAAGATCCCCACTCCAAAAAATAGAGGTATCAACACTGCTTCAAGTCTCTAGATTATCAAAATTATGAGAACGTTTTGTTTTAAAATAACTAAATGAGATTTGCATATTGTTGTAAACATAGAACATTTTAATAGAAAATCAAAAATAGTGTCTTAATTCATCAACAGAGGGCAATTTATTACCCAAGAGTTTAAGATTGACGCAATTTATAAACAAAGAACGATCTTCGCTTACAAACAACGCCGAGCGCAACGTGACATTTTTCGTCATTGTGCTATGGCTCAGCCAATCAGCGAAAGATATTACGTATCACGCTTTTGGTCACGTTGCAAGTGGTGTGGAATCTGGAACGTGTGGTCTGGCGAGGCAATAACTAAGAGTCATTTCAGAGAGGAAGTTCTTAAAGTATAGGTTATACGTGAAAGAGTTACTCAGTTGTCCTGATTTTCGTGTAAAGTATTAGTCCCTTTGTTGAACAGTTGGGAGGATGCTTTTATAGACTTAGTGTATAATAGTTAATAGTAGAGAAAACATTTGTGTGGAATTGAACTTAGAACTGAATAACCAGCATTACTTGAGGTATTGTGTGATTTCACTGTTTTCAGTGCGTAAAATCAAAATATTGATCGCAAAGTACTGGCTTTGGTAGTTTTTGGCAGGGAGGAAGACCATATAAATACATTTAACTCAACTGTACAACATATATATATTTGGTATAGTGTTACTGAATACGCACATTTTGTATGCAATGTCTGCTCCCCAAACAAAAAACTTGGTACACTGGTTTAGACGTGGACTACGACTTCATGATCAACCTGCTCTCCTAGAAGGACTCGCAGGATGTACGTCTTTTCGCTGTGTGTTTATTTTGGACCCTTGGTTCGCAGGTTCATCTAACGTTGGAGTAAATAAGTGGAGGTACGTAAAATTATTTTATTTAATGGACTATAACCTAACATACGTTAATATTATGATAATAAGTAGTTACCTTGTGATAGCGAAAATTTTAAAAAGACATTACAATTGTTAGTATAAACATGTTTTATCTCATACTATTACTAGTGGGGACCTCGTTATAAAGCTTACTTTATAATAATGGTACTTGGTTTGTTTGGTTTAAATTTCGCACAAAGCTACAAATGGGCTATCTGCGCTAGCCATCCCTAATTTTAGCAGTGATAGACTAGAGCGAAGGCAGCTAGTCAACACCACCCATCGCCAACTCATGGGCTACTCTTTACCAACGAATAATGGGTTTGAGCATATTCGGCGTGACGGGGATTCGAACCCGCAGATTTCAAGTCGATTGCCCCAACCACCAGGCCAGGCCTACTTGGTCAGACTAACGTTGGAGTGTCGAAGCTACTCCATAGCGTTATTAGTACCCTTTTTCTTCTGGTTCTAGTATAATTACCCAATTGACTTTAATTTTTAAACATGTTTTTCTAAACTATTCATGCACCTAACTGCATGTGGGGCCAATATTTTTTGGTTACGAGATACTCTTAAAATACGAGTCACATAACAAACTTTTAATCGAAATTACTGTCAATATTATGTTATTATTTCCACCAATTATTGTTGTAGTCTCCAACGGTATTTGTATAGAAAATAAGTGATATCACTAAATTTGTTTGGTCAGTGGATCTCACCGCCGTGAGTAGTACCTAAACAATTCGGTACATAATATTAACTTACGATCAACGTAAGCCACCAACATATAACATAACTTAAAATATACCCAGTCATCAGTATAGCTAATTAAATATACTGTTAAGACTATCATTCTTATAATTATTAAAATACATCGATTCATCACGATATTTTCGGCCGTAAACCCAATAATATCTCACTAGGAGACTTAGGTTAGTTCTAAAACCATATACTAGGCTAATAATGCAGAATAAACATTATATAAAAAGTATTTTGTTTTAACAGAATATTTGTAAAAATTGAGGGGCATAAACTAGTAACAGAGAAGGATCGGGATAAGGTTACTACCACACATATATTACCGAACGATCTGGTTTTGTGACCGCCTGTTTTGTTTCTTCTTTTTTGTTTTGTAATGCATGAAGACATAACTGTAACCTGAAAGTTGTCGAAAAGTTCAAATAAAATATAAAGTGTAGCTAGTTAGATTTCGAACAAATGATACAGTAATGGTGTAACAGTGTACAAACATTGTCATGGTGCGTTATTGTTAGAGTTGTACAGTTTTGTTTGCTCTTCGCTGGACTTAAGATATTAAATAAATGATTTAGAAGCACTGGCAACATATATATCTACAATCTAGATTATTTTCGAAAGCGTTTAATTTGAACCTTGTAACAAAACTGTGATTGAAACTCTGAAGAATAACAGTTAAAACATTCAATTTCATAGGCAATTCTCTCTGGGATTAAGCCAATTACGTGCCAAAACCCTAAAGATATGCACAATTAGCTTTTCATAGGTCATTCACATGCACATCGTACAGTGTAGTTTTGATTTCGAATTAAGTATTGTCGTTGTAATGTTACTTGTGCTAACCAGATAATTTAAAAGTGAGAAAGGTGGGGTAAGACTAGGATTACCACATTTCCAAAATAAAAAATTGGGACTTTATATTTCCTTACGAAGTGACACCGTAATAGCCCCCGAACCAGTTTAAATTACAACACACGTTTTAACTTTACTAAAACCACAGACAAACAAGAATTTGTTAAAATCTTATATTCATTAAAAAATGACAAATAAAGTCTTTAAAAACGCGACAAAATTATTCTAAACCTACTCAAAAGAAAAATATTGCTGCTTTTTTTTTATACTAAGCAGGTCTTCAAGTCTCAATTTCTGATGATGCCCAATGACAGGTGAGGTGAGAAAACTTAGTAGAAAGGGAGGTAACACTGTACCGTGTGATTTATTTTTGTCTGTTTGTTTTATAGCAAAGCCACATCGTACTACCTACTGTGTCCACCGAGGGAATCAAACCCCTAATTTTAGCCTTGTAAATCCGTAGACTTATCGCTGACCCACCGGGGGACTTACTTCTGCGCGTAAAATGTAAAAGATCTTATAATGACAAACCATACATATGAAATTCACATCGAGTTACAAAGACACTGGGGCAATTTAAAACTTTTACTGCTTCGAGTCGGGACAAAAAAAAAACAACTAAAAATTGGAACATCTAGTAATCCTAGGTAAGACTGACACCTTAACTTTGAATGTATTTCTCACCAATTGATGTGATTTTCATTAAAGGAACAATTCTTTAAATAAACCATATTTTCTAGTTAAAACAAAGATTGGAATCTCTTTTCAGATACAGAAAAAAAATCCCATTTTTGGTTGGGGTCGTCTTACCTATAAAGTTAAATAAAGTGGGCCCAAAAGATGGCCCTCATATACCTCATGTCAACTACTAATTACAATTAGAGCATATTTAGAACAAATGCTGCATTTAAAAACCTCGTTTAAACATCCATTAAAGCGCTCATGACAGGGATCGGGAAAGCGTGCCGCACGCGAAAATTGTGCATTATCCAGGACAATGGCGTAAACGAACGTGGGAACTAATACGGAGCGATGACGTACATTGCGGCCGAAAGATCTGGCGGTAAATACGTCATGGGGGGGGGGGGATGGGGAGTTAACCTAAGCCACTCACTGTAAAGCAGTCGCATGTTATAAAAATTCGGTGAACTTGAACCGTATTTCTTTTACTTTATATTCGGTTGTCTATAATTGCTTATTGTTTGAAATCATTGAAATATGTATTTAGTAACCTAAAAAAATTCAATGTGCGTACGTTAGATCAAAGTTGTTCAAATACAGAAAAAAAAACGAAAAACATTTATTTCGCGCCCGTCCGCCAATGTGGTTATGTATAATTCACGCTAATGGCAGCACATCATACATCATAAGTTATGATAAACGCGGGTGGCTGTTTATCCGGAAACAACTTTTTTACCCTTATGTATATCTTTTTAGCAGACCGAAACACTTGAATAGAGTGCAAAGCTTAATGTGTAGTTTTTCATATACTTAGTGTCATGAGCTTCGTACTAAGTGATTTGCACTGTATTATCAAAGAACTTAACTATCTAAACATACTGGCCACATACATTACTTGATAGTTAACACAGCTCAGATGTAATCAGTTTTGGACATGAACCACCAAATATCCGTATTTTGACAAACTAAACGAAATTAAACTATTTTACGATATTAGTGTAGATTTTAATCGTTTTTAGTTTATTTATCCAAGTTATTATTGTCGCATGAGTGATTATTATTGAAGTAATGTCAGTAAAATTTTCTTGTTGTTTAAATATAATGTGGGAAATTTTATATTTCCTAGTTGTTTGTATCACGCTCTTAAAATTAATATCACTGCACATTTGTTTTATCCTAGATATATGACAGTCAATACTGTAGCTTTCCAATATTGCAGGCCCGGTATGGCCAGGTGGTTAGAGCGCTCAACTAGCAATTTTCGGGTCGCGGGTTCGAATCCCCGTCACACCAAACATGCTCGTCCTTTCAGCCGTGGGGGAGTTATAATGTGACGGTAAATCCAACTATTCGTTGGTAAAATAGTAGCCCAAGAGTTGGCGGTGGGTGGTGATGACCAGTTGCCTTTCCTCTAGTATTACACTGCTAAATTAGGGACGGCTAGCGCAGATAGCCCTCGTGTAGCTTTGCGCGAAATTCAAAAATAAACAAACCAATATTGCAGTTTTGAGTTGTTTTTTATAACGTTGGAAAACGTTTTAATGTTTACGTAAGTACAGCAATAATAACAGACGACGTCAAAAATATTTTGTCAGGAATTATCTGTAAAATAAATGAATGTTTAAAACTACTGCATACTATAATTTTTCAGATATTAATTTCAATATTTACTTGGATAAGTATGAAGCACTGGTATTAAAAATTATTAACTACGCATCAAGTATATTTTTATAATACAATATTTACTTGTATAAGTACCGAATAAATGTACAAATTATCATTTATTTTAGTGGGTAGTCGTTGTATGTTAATAAAGAAATACCTAAATTGACTCGAATGCACGTTAAATTGTGCATTTAATGATATTTGAGTTATTACTTGCTCTTACAATGTTGTATGACGTATATCAAAAGATATGAAAAAAAAACAGTTTAATCAAACAACTATAATATATGATATTATATTACCACTGATATGAAGTTGACTATCATTATAATCAAAACCAAACAGATCTCGGTTCAATAAAGTATAACATTTAAATGCTCTTGAATAGCCTTTTAGAATTAAGACAGTTTTAGTACGAAATTATAATAACATCACACAACATGTGCCATAGACGTAATTAATATTCAGAGTACGATTTTGTATGTCTGCGGTCTTACAACGCTAAATATTGAGTTTCGATACCCGTGGTGGGCAGAGTACAGATAGCCCATCGTGTATCTTTGTGCTTAACTTTAAACAAACAAACTATTTTGTATACGCATTAAATAAAGTTCAAAGAAAAAAGCATTGTAGGCGTTAACAGTAAGGTGTTTTCTTGATAGCTGTACACGATCTTTGGTAATGATTTGTATATCCAATCAACCATGACCTGTGATTACATAGGTTAAAAGCTCTCACCATTTTATCACAATTCAGTAAAAGTGTGGTAATTTGTAAGTGCACGTGGAGCCTAAAATTAATCCCTTTCTGGGAGAATAAAATTATCAGGATTTTCCGAAGCAAAGTGCTCCTATTCTGCGATTCTAAAAGTAAGAAAGAAAGGGGGAATTTCGAAGGAAAGGAGTTCTGCTCAAGTTTCAGTAAAAAAATTATGTAATTTGCTATTGTCCTGCCGAAGATACAACAGTTCAAAACTAATGCACTGGATATTGCTAGAGCTTTTACCAACGAATTTATTAATATTGCAGATT